TGATGATGATGATGATGATGATGATGATGATGATGATGATGATGATGATGATGATGATGATGATGATGATGATGATGATGATGATGATTTTCTTCAACGTGTAAGCATCCTTGTTGTTTCGCTGGATATGGGAACAACTGAGGTGTTGAATAAATAGCTTTCGTACTTCTCAAACAATTTGTAATGGCGTGAGAAACACCAAGGAGGCGGCACAACTCATTGAGAACATAAATGAATCACACCTCAGCGGCTATAAAAATAGGCTCAAATACTGAGTGAATCCTCTACCAGATCCAGCAGAAGTTTTTATCTCCAGCAGATATCTATTCGTTTTGACATCCACGGTCTACAGCTATCAAGACTCCTTCTTTTTTAATCGTCCCCGAGCGATGATGAAGTTCCTGAACATTATCGTGTGCTGCATAGCGTTGGGCTACAGCGTCTTACCGGTAAGATAAGAGAATTGATGACAAGAGAAAAGATACGATAAGACCACGAGGGTGGATTAAAAAAGTAATGGATATTTTAAAGTATCTCTTTCAGCCTCCACAAACACTTCTGAAAGGCACAGCGATAATTATTAGTTTCTGGAATGCTTCGCGGTCCTTACTTTACAGCTCTAGCTAGATCTCGAATGTGTTAAACTTTCGTCCAGCGAGATCATCTTTTAGAATAGGAAATACCTAGAAGCCACAGAAAGCCTATTGGGAACAATAGGCTGTATGAGACATAGCTTGGATCCCTTGCTTTTGTATGCACAAATAGTTGTGGTTCTCGCTCTGTGAGGAGCTGCAATGTCGCGGACGACCATAGTGTAAGAGAATCCGATCTTTGGTTTCCTCTCATCAGCTGTATTTTTTCCAATGGTGTAAAAGAAAAAACCCAGCAAAAACCTTCTTCCTGCTTTGAAATCATGAACGCAAAACAACAGGCCTTTATCATTCCCACATTCGATTCAGACGTTTTGATGAAATTCCGAAAAAGGGAATCCATGTTTCGAGTCTCCGGAGAATAACTGCAGGTCGTTTGGGCCCATGGGTTCAAAGATGCTGAGCCTTTCTTTGGAGCATTCTCTCTCGTTTATGTTTCACAGTAAGTAAAAGGGGTATCCAACGGGTACATACTTTTTCCATATGGAGATCTCTAAGAATAATATACCAACCAACCAATCTAACGTCAAGACATCTCATGACGGTATGTCTTTTTGTTAAGGTATAAGGATTTTGTGCAATATAGAGCTAGAAAACATCAACGTTCTTTCTCGTTCACTGGGGTATTTTGGTGGCCAGAATGTAGTTCATAAAAAAGACACTACATTTTACTTCTTTACTAACTTCTCTTACCCAGTGATAAAATGTGTAACATAAACTTTTTTTGGCGATTCACCAAATTTGCCCTGCATAAAAATGTAAAATGGATTTTTCTATTGTAACCTTCGTCTTGTTTCCTTTAGAACGCAAAATATCTTTAGTTTGATTGTAACGTCCCAGCATAGAATTCCATCCTTATTTTTAGAAAACATTCTTTGATATATTTTGTCCCATGAATTGACACAAAACACGAGTACACATACAACATAATGTGATCAATTCATCTAGATCTAGGTGCAGTTTTCGTTGTCTCCTGCAAGAAACCTGCGGTGCTTATAACTGTGGTGCAGTAAGGTAGAAAAGCTTGATCTGAGATAGATCCTATCATTTTTTTTTCTTCGGCCTTCTCTGAATATTTCCTCAAAGGCTGGTGTTATTGTACAAGACCAAGTGCTGTACTTTGAAAAGAAAAGGCCTTCTGTATGTTGTTTGTTTGTTTGTTTATTTGTTTGTCCGTTTGTTTGTCTGAATGTTTGTTTGTCTGTTTGCTGTTTGTTTGTTTCACTGTTTGTTTTCTTGCTTTCTCGGTGGCGTCGTTGACCTAGTGGTTAGGTTCTCAGTCTCGCAACCGTAAGGTCGTGGGTTCGAATCCGACCAGTGACCCGACGATGTGTCAAAATAATCAAAGTGAAAAAAAACCCGGCATTTTCCCGCAGGCTTGTGAATTTTTATTGGACTTTTGTTTCTTGGCTCAACACTTTTCATGCCTATTAAAGAACACATTCCTGAGGGGATTTTACTGAAAAAAAGTTAATGAAAAAAAAGGAAATTTTCAGTTTCCACGGATTCTCAAGCTAAGGAAATAACTAATGTTTGGCAGCCATTTTCTCACTAATTTTACCTCTGAAACCAGGTGACCCCACCTCCTTCATTCGCAAATATCTCGACTTGTGTTGAAGAAAAATGAATATTTTTTTTTCATTAAAAGCAAGACAGATGAACAAGCATTACTTTGCATGCCCAAAAATTGACCAGAGCCTGATTCCACTGCATTGTGACACATCCAATGATAAAGTGTTAAGCGCGTAGAACTTGCTGTAGAGCAGGGTTATGCGCTATACATATGCTATTTATTGTTGTTGTTGTTGTTGTTGTTGTTATTATTATTATTATTATTATTATTATTATTATTATTAGATCTATTATTATTTGGAAAGGCCTTTATGGCACTAGCGACTGCTTACAGTCATGATATGAGCGAGCATTTCTGTTAAGACGACCGAAGGACTTTAACAATAACTACACTGCCGGTACTTATTTCCACACTACTTTTGCAAAACGTTACACCAAAACCGTCTTCCATTTTTCCCCAGATGGTCCGTGCCATGTACCGTGGTGGTGGTGGTGGAGGCTGGGGAGGCCCCACCGTGGTGTCACGCCGTGGTGCAGAAGGGCCGGATGTGTCGTCACTCGTCAGCTCTATCCAAGCGTTGCTGGAGAAAGCCAAGAACGGTTGGAAAGGCTGATTAATAATTGGTCATTGCAGGGAGTTTCAAATATCAACTGGGGGGCTCTCGTGGCCTAGAGATTAAGGTGTTCGCCACTTATTCAAATCCAGATAGCGACGGAAAATTTTCTTCTTTAAAATCTCTCCTTTCACATCCTTTCCTGTTCTCTAACAATGTTCTGTCGTCTACTTTCGTCTCCACTTTCTGCCCCCACTCCCTAACATCCTTTTCCCCCTCCCGGGCTCCTGACTCTTTCTGCCGCCTTTCTACAGATACTCCTCGGCTCCTTTTTACTGCTGTCTTTTACTTTTAATCCCACCCTGATTTTATGATAGGAAAGATCTATACCTTCTCGGACAAGGGCGAGGCGAAAAATCTCGGAGGTTCCGTGTGCAATTTTGTGCACGTTAAAGATCCCACGGTGGTCCAACATTAATAAGAGTAGGCTTCGGCCGCCACCCAGGCAAAATTCAAAATTTCCTACCAACTGAAAATGTTTACTGTGTCCAGTGCGCCATATGCAGTTGCGAGCGCCGTAAAACACCTACCCCCAAAAAAGTCAACGAGCCGAACATACCTGATCGGATCTGGTTGAATTTTCAGGACACCGAAGTTTGCAGTGCTTTGGTTACTCTCGATTGTATGCAAACGACATGCGTTCGACTTCTGCTATGATGCTTTATTCTACACAGCCCGAACTGACCCAGACAAGAAGACATAAAGCAGCCTGCCTTCTAAGAGGTTCAGATTATGCTGATGGAGGTTAAACATTTGCAGTCACACATTCATTGAAAACTTTTACTAGAAAGTGTCCGCAAAATAACGTAACTGGACATGCATAAATTTTATTGTAATAAACTTTACAGAATACACAGTCTATCTATCTATCTATCTATCTATCTATCTATCTATCTATCTATCTATCTATCTAATATCATCGTTATTTTAAAAAGTATAGTCATAGTCTTCTACTCTACATCGTCACCAGGAATAGATGTTGGTGAATTGGTTGCCGATGCTGATAAGATTGGAGAAATGGCTGGAGCCATTGAAGACGGAACAGATCAAGAAGGTAGAATGACAAAAATTACATGAACAAAGAATGACACAACCAAGGCAGAACCCGACCACGACAGACACCACATTGGAAACACGTTTAGCAGACGTATTATGTTTTTGCAACACGAACATAGACGACTGTAATATGAACATTATTTTCCGATAAGAGGAAAACGGAATTTCATTTTTTTAAACGTATTGCATTCCAAGAATTGCTGTTAAAACTACTTAACACTTTCATTGACACTATATAGAACATCGACTTTGCTCGTCAGATTGTTTTATATGTACATTACATCGAAAAAAGAAGATACTGAATAAAATATCTCCCTCGAGGGAGGCGAACTCACCTCTTTCAAATCTTTGGGTACCATAATTATATGGTGTTCGCCAAACAGAGTTTAACTCTTAAAAGATAGTATTTATGTTTCAGGAGACAGCCAATATAAGCTCTATAATTCTGTCTCTATGCTTGAATTATTTTTTGCGTAATTTTAGAGCTTACACATTAGATATTCTATTTGCACTTCAAGAGTAAAGACTTGATGCAAAGCGATAACGGTTGACGCCCAGGTTGTTATTTTAAGCCCAATTTTTGAAATTAGTAAAACATAAGTTATCAAAACGGTTATTACTATCGTGGCTTTATGGTTAGATGGACCTAACAGAGATTTTCCATAAACAAGACTGATTAAAACACGAAATGGGATTGTTAATTTGAGTTAAAGTTCGGCACTCTGTACTAGGATAGTATGAGTACACAAATCAGAATTGTGCTAACCATTAACCCTATGCATGGTGAGATGTAAACAAAGTTCTTTTGTTCTTTATTTCATTGTTATTAACAGTATCTAAAAATACAAGTACATTTTAGAACCTAAACTGATACTATATTATTATGTGCTATTGGTCAACATAAACATTTCTTTTGTTAACAATTTTTACGTTTCAGTGGACCCCGAAAAAGTAAGACAGATTATTGATGACGTGGCAAACACGTTCAACGGAGCTACTTCTGTCTCAGCGCTCTTTGACAGTAAGTGCAAGCGCAAACTATGTTTCTGTATGAATGTATACTTTTATGGGGAGGGGGTGTCAAAGCTCCATAAAGCATGGTTGTTTGTTACTTGCTTGTGCACTAATGATTATCTGATTTTCCTTCCTCCCAATGTGTTAATAGTATGTCGCTAAATCTTATCCGTTTTAGTAACTAGATAACAAGACTATGTACCCCCTCCCTCCCACCCCGTACCATTTCCAGGTTTCACGAAACTGGCTAGTCTGCGACTTTCCTCACAAGCACCAACACTGGTCATGCAGGATATTACATTCCATTAGAACGATAGAGATACTCTTTAAAATGTCAAACCATCAATTCTTTTTAGCAAATGGTGCACAATCGTGCTCACTCGGGGATTACCAGTCGCCCTCAAAATGAAAGATAAAGCCTTGAATGAAATAGCTAAAGGTGACACGGAATTTTTCGTTTTTCCCAAGGTTCTCCCTGCTTTCATTCTAGTCTCCGTTTGTTGCTATTCTGGTGGTCAGACCGCCTTCAGTTCTACTGTCAAGCACTTCCCCGCCGACCCCTCCCCCATATCTGACATACAATTTATTGGTTTTCAACCTCGATTTATATCCTCAGACCCGATGGACTTTGATGCCAGCAAGATGGACTCTGCTCTTCATCTTCTGGATGGCCTAGCGGCCAAGGCTCAAGAGATACAAGGTAAAGGCTAGAAACTATGGTTTTAGAAGAGTGGATTGCAACCCTTTGATTTAATAAAGCCTTTGAAAGCAAACCCATACTGAATGAAAATACGTCGTAATAGGAAGAAAATGTCGCTGATATAACTAACGGTAATCTAATTCAAATGTTTCACTCGCAAGATGTAGACCCTAACCAAATATACCACGTGGGGTATAGAGGGATGAGAGCTCTGGACATCATGGTATTTTGGTTTCAAGTAAAGTTATAGAATTTTTATACTGCACGTACGCACATTTGTGCTCACTATAATCTTCCTCAGACTTTATTTGACGAAAGTCACAACTTTTAAGAACATAAAAAGGATGACTTATGGCATTGCTTTTGTTTTAAATTGATTTGTTCTGCCCAATATTGTAGAAAACGGGACAACATGACAGGGAGCCTTGTAGGATAGGGGTTAATACTCTCAATGGAAGTTCACTGTATACTTCCCGGGAAGCTGAGAATGTTTCGGAATGTTCTATGGTCTCTCTCTCTCTCTCTGTCTCTCTCTCTCTATGTCTGTCTGTCTGTCTGTCTGTCTGTCTCTCTGTGTCTCTCTGTCTGTCTGTCTGTCCGTCTCTC